TTGAACTATAACGGTATTATAAGTCATGAATAATGTGAAAGCATTACAAAGAAATGAACAGGCATTTTAGAATGAAACCCAGTGATGGACAGATTGCCTGGGAGGGGAAAAAAATGCAAACATTTTTTGCCAAAGGAACATATTCTTCAGGAAGTTATCACTCATTCAGAACATTGTTGACAGTGAATACCATTTCCCTTGTGATTAGGTAGTGTTCTCATGAGCACTATCAAATCAGATCAAGGATTTTCTTGGAGGCACCTATAAGACATACTTATTCATTCATTCATTCAAATATATACTTATTGAATGCCTACTTTGTACCAAGTGCACTTCTAGATGTTTGGGACTCATCGATGGGCAAAACCAGTAAGAATTCCTAGAAGGAGGCAACCAATAATAACAATAGACAGAATAAACAAGTAAAGTGAATGACAAGCAGAAGGTGATAAGTCGTATGAAAACAATTAGAAGAGGATAAGGGAGACATGAATGCAGGGCTGTATGTGAAATTTTAAATAGGACATTTAAGGTAGACCTTGAGAGGAGACATTTGGGCAAAGATTTGAAGGAGGTATGAAAATATTAATATTAGGATAGAAAACTTGTTAGCAAAGATATGTCAAAATCATCTGGCTATGACAAGAGAGAAAGAAACAAAAACAAATTTCAAGTTATTTTGACTCAATTTTATCTTCCATTCTGAATGTTTCAAAGTGATTGCAGCCCCATGTGAAGACAAGGAGGTTTTTGATTAGTTTTCAGCTGAAAACACAAACTTCATTAAAGCCAAGGAGAGGTGGTTGTCTCATACACCCCCATTAGTTATCATGAGTTGGAGCAGAAATGCAGTAGATGACCTTGAAAGTATAAGCAACTCACACCACATAAAAGTGATATACATTAGATACTCAACATTAGACACTGAAAACAGGTACCAAACCTTGACAGTTCATACAACTCTTTCCAGGAGACTCAATAACAATATATCAAGATGTAATCTCTTCCAGGACAAATTCATCCTTCCCAAGATGCCAGAAATCTTTTATCTGCTTCCTGATGCCTGAAGTAATATATCAAGCAGTCATGAAAATGTCATGAATGTGAAAGTAACTTTAATGAATCAAAGAAGGAAGGCTACATGTCCACAAATGTGTAGTTTAGTAACTGTGATCAAACTGAGACAATTTAACTTAATGTAAAAGTGACAGTTGCTAGATTAAGTCACAATCATAGAGATCACATTATCTGAAAATATGAGATTAATAGATTCAAACAGAGATTTTTGGTAAATGTATTTCAAATAGTTCAATCTGTTGATTGTTGTTTAACATGTCCCCGAGGTCACCAGAAAAAAGTTGTTGGGGTCCTCAATTACCACCAAAATTTCAACAGTGCTCAACCCTCTGTTCTTTTTTAGTCTCACCTATACTGTGTGTCTCTTCATTCTTTTAATGAATTAGATAGAGAACTACCATTTATAGAACATGTATAACGTGTCAGGCACTGTACTAGATGCTTTTACATGTATCATCTCAATTCTCACATTCTAACCTATATGTGTGTGTAGTTATGGGCACACGATGTAGGAAGATGCAAGAGGAGAAGAAGAAATATTAGCTACATTTTACAGGAGCTCAGAGAGTTTAGATAACTGCTCTAAATTCACATGTGTAGGAAGTATTAAAGCCAGGATTCTGCTCAAAGTTTCTAGCTCTTTTAAGTTATCTGCAACTCGACTGGGGCCACCATAATAATTACCATTTGCATAGCATTTTATTGTTTATAAAGTACATTTATGTTTTATTTGATTATATCATGATCCTAAGATAATTCTACTTATCTTGGTTTTCTTCAAAATTACCAGTTTAGGGGCTGGCCCAATGGCTGAGTGGTTAAGTTTGCATGCTCTGCTTTGGTGGCCTGGAGGTCATCAGTTCAGATCCTGGGCACAGACCTACTCATTGCTCATCAGGTCATGCTGTGGTGGAATCCCACACAGAAGAACTAGAATGACCTACAACTAGGATATACAACTATGTACTGGTGTTTTGGGGAGGAAAAAAAGAAAGAGGAAGATTGGTAACAGATGTTAGCTCAGGGACAATCTTCCTCACCAAAAAATAACATACTGTAAAAAAAAAATATATCAGTGTAGGGGCCAGCCCAATGGCATAGCAATTACATTCAGTGTGCTCTACTTCAGTAGCCTAGGTTCACAAGTTCAGATCCTGGGTTCAGACCTACAGCACTCACCAACTATGCTGTGGCAGTGACCCACATATAAAGCCAAGGAAGACTGGCACAGATGTTAGCTCAGGGCTAATCTTCCTCCACAAAAAAAATAAAAAAATAAAGTAAAATAAATCATCAGTCTATAGCATTATTATAACTTTGCAAACTCTGCAAAATGCACTAAAGCCACATGTCTATCTTTTGTGTATGAACGTTCATAAACTACACTCATATGACAAACTCATTACCTTTGCTTCTATCTCATGATGAGAAAAGAGACTGCATGTTCAGTAATTACAATAATACAAAGTATGTCAAATTGCTTAACTTCTCTAAGAGTGTTTCCTCAACTATATAATGAGGATAATAGTATCTACCAACTTACCTACTTCGTGGAATTGTTGTAAAGATAAAGTATAAGATAATTGTGTATATAAAAGAGCTTTGAAAATTGTTTATGTTATAATAATGCTTTACATTATTTAATGATTATTATTAAAGATCATTTACAGATACCTTATAATACATTTGATTCTTGATTTTCATCGCTTTTCAACTTACACAAATATATGCTTGATATTAAAAGTTTATAACATATCAAAATATATAAAGTAGAAACTTAAAACTCCATTTCACACTCACCTTCCTCAATCCAAGTAATTTTCCTTTCCAAGAGATTATAAGGACCGCTAGTTTCATACTTCCTCTTTTGGATCTTTTAATACACATTTATATTCATGAATTTAAATGTATTCAATTTTTTCTAAATACATACCAATCAAATATATTTTACTTGACAAGTTTCTGTTTGTTTTTGCTAACATATCCTGGAGATCTTGAATAGCTTGGTAGTAGTGTAGGACTTTATAATGGAAAGTTAAGCTATTTATTTTGTGTGTATGTGTCTATAATGAGCACCCTTTGACATATATGTATGTTCATGTACAAGTAAGCATATTTTACTAAGCTGCACTCGTATAAGTAGAACATCTGGATCAAAGAGCACATTATTAATTTTAATAGATACTACCAAAAAAACCCTCCAAATAAAAGCTGTGCCAAATTACACACTCTCCAGCAGTATATGATTATCTTTCTTTGGACTTTGCAAATACTAGTTATTATCAATAAGTCCATTTTGCCTATCCTATGAGTGAAAAATATGTCATTGCTATTGTCATTGTCATCTCCCCTATTACCAGTGAGGTGTGATGTATTTTAATGTTTATATTATTGGCTAATTGCATCTTTTTCATGAAATATCTTTTTGTGGCCTCTGTCCAATTTCCTGCTGAGTTGCTGCCTTTCCTATGACTTATAAACACTCACTATATTGTGGATATTTTTCTCCTTTTTATTTTATATGTAACAAATATATTCTTCCAGTCAGTCACTTTTATTTTATTTTTGTTTATAGTATCACTCACTAGAAAGAAGTTTCATAGTTTATACAGTCAAACCTGTTAGGTTTTTCTTTTTGGTTTCTAGTTTTCTGTCTGGCTTAAGAAGGTCGTTTTTATCAAAATTATGAAAATAATCTCCTGTATTTTCTTCTAGTACTTTTGCTTTACTATTCTTTGTGAGAAATACATACTTAGATTTCTATCTCAAACCATTTATAAAAAGAACTCTCATTGATTGATTAAAGATCTATCTATCTATCTATCTAGCTATTATCTATCTGGCATCTTTCTCTTTAATGTTTCCCACAATGGACAGCCAACTGTATTAGCACCATTTTTTGAAGAGTCTATCCTTTCTCCACTGATTTGAAATCACTTCTACCATATGATTAATCCCTATATATACGTAAATCTGTTTTTGGATGACTCTCTATTCTGTTTACTTTGTCTTCTAATATTTTCTTGTCTAGCTCTAATCCATATGACTATAAATATTGTGTAATTGTAATGAAAGGGTATTTATATTCTTTCACTTGATACCATAAACATATTTCCATGTTTCTATACAGCTTTTCCTAATTATTACTTGAATAGCTATAATCTGGTAGATGTACCTTATTTCTCCCCTATTCTTGGGCATTTCTATTGTTTGTTGCTAAAAATAATGCTGCAATTAAGATCATAATTGGTTCTCTCTCTCTCTCTCATTTTAGGGTAAATACTTAATAGAATTACTGCATAAATTCATAGGAATATCTTTATCGATTTTGCCATGTCTTGCCATATTACTAAGAGGATTGCTTCAGTTTTCAGTGCTCTCAGTAATATATGAATGTATTTATTTCACCATGCTCTTGTTAGCACTGAGTGTTATTTTTCAAAATGTTTAATAATTTAGTAAAATATTACCTCAAAGCTCCCTGATAATCTTATATGGAGCTGGTCATCTGTCCCATTGTTCTGAATGCATCTTGATTAGTCTATATTACAGGTATATTATAATTGTTCATTAAATAATGAAAAAATCTGCATTGTGAGTTTGAAAATGTTAGAGTTGATAGCTTTATGCCTCTATTTGTTAAATCACCAAAATAGACAACACATTATGAACTATGGAATAATTAATTGACTGCCAGTCCAATAAAGTCCAATTTTAGACATTTATTTTTCTGGTTATCTACAGCCATGTAGCAAAATCACCTCCAAATTTTGTAGCATGTCACAACATTTGTTATGCTCACACATTTTCAACAAGGCACGTAGGGCATAATTATTCTCTGCTCCACTATAACTGGATAATTTAAAGGCCAAGGGTGACTCAATGGCTGGGAGCTGGAATCATCTGAATGCTTATTTACTCACATGTCTTGCAGTTGATGCAGGATGTTGGCTAGAACTTTAGCTATTGATGTTGGCTATCAGCTGGAACATTTACACATGACTTCTCCAAGTGGCCTGGTATTCCTCATGACATGGTGGCTGAGTTCCAAGGGCAAGAATCCTGAGAAAGGGAGAATCAGATAGAAACCACATCTTTAATGACCTAGCCTCGATCTCATCGAGATGGCGGCATAGACAGACTCTGAAGTCGTCTCCTTCCACAAACACAACCAGGTTACAACTATTTTTGGAAAAATTACCCTGGATAGAAAACTGAAAACTGGCTAAAACGAACCCCCACAACAAGGGATAGTCCTGACTAAGCCGGAAGAGGCAGAAATTCCTTCTGGAGAGAAAAAAAGCCACCTTCAGGAGCAGTGGAGTTTCTCAGCCGGCCAGGTGGGAGTCAACCTAAGGTACGCAGCCCTCTCTGGAGAAGTGAGGTCCTGAGCAGGGGCCCGATACTGCTATAAGCATCCTTACATTCAGACTCAGCACAACTGAGACAAAGGTCTTACTATCTGGCTTTGCTGGCTATTAAGTGCAGCAGGGAATACCCCCAGAAAACTATTGGATGAAAGCCAAGAAGACCAGAGTCGTAAATGGTCCATGCACAAACTCATCCATCTCAGCAACCTAAAACCACCAGAAGGAAGGCTGACAGTCCTTTGGTGAAAGGAGACTCACCTGGTAGGCTCTGGGTGCATCTCAGTGAGAGGAGAGACCTCTCTGGAGACTGAGACATTGGTGGTGACCACTGTTGTCACCTAGTCCAGTTGTGCTGACAGAGACAGGCAGACACCATTGAAGTTCTTCCCCTGGCCTATGAGCCCAGGGGTCTGCCACACCCACTAGAGTGCAGATTTAATCTAGTTCAGCCAGGGCAGGCAGTCTGCCCTAGGGACCGGCCCCACCCAACAGTAAGCCCTCAGGCTACTTGTTGGCCTGCATTGACTGGGTGCCTTGATCCTCTACAGGCAGGTGAACGTGTCCACCTCTGTGGGGCAGGGCCTGTGTGAGGACCAGGTGAACTGTGGGGAGCATTGGTGGAGAGATGGGGGCCTCTGCAGTGGGGCATCAGGCTACGCTCCAGGGGGTTAGGAAGTGTGCACAGACCAGGACTGTATTGACAGTGTGTGTGGTCCTGTGGGAGGTGAGGCTTATCAGTGGCAGAAGACCTGTGCTTCACAAATAGCCATAAAAAGGATCAGCCCCACCTTCCAAAGTCTGAAATAATTGAGTGCCAAGTGCCAGCCCCACTCAGCTGCACTTCTAAGAGAACTGACAACAGCTTGGTAGACCTGAGGCCTATAGCAACTGTAAGCCCCTGAGCCTAGCAACCAGCTACAATGAGTACCTAGCTAATTAACAGGAAAACTACAACAGGAGCATGTGTTAGACCTTGGGGCCAATGGTGCTGAGGCTCACCAAACCAGATTTACAATCAGCTGGCCTGGGAACGAAAGAATAGACTCCCTGGGTACCTGCATTAAGAGCAACCCTGCCACAGCAGAAGGACACAAGTAACCCACAAAGGGGTCACTCCTAGATCATTTTGACTGGTGATGAGAGGGAAGCACACTGCTGGGCCTCAAAAGGAATCTCTTACATAAGGCTACTTCTCCAAGATCAGGAGACTTAGTCAACTCACCTAATACATGATGTAAGTACAGAGAAAGAGGCATAATGAGGAGACAAAGAAATACATTCCAAACAAGGGAATAGGACAAACCCCCAGAAAAATGACTAAATGAAACAGAAATAAGCAATCTACCTGAAAAAGAGTTCAAACAAAAACTTATAATGATGCTCACAGATGTTGGGAGAAGACAGGATGAGCACAGTGAGCTCACCAACAAAGAACTGGAAAATATTAAAAAAAAGAATCAGAAATGAAGAAGACAATACTGGAAATGAAAAATTCACTAGAGGGACTCAATAGCAGAGTAGACGATACACAAGAACAGGTCGGCGAGTTAGACGAAAGACTAGAGGAAATCACCCAAGCTGAACATAAAAAAGGAAAACCAATTAGACAGAATGAGAACAGTGTAAGGGAACTCTGGGACAATATCAAGTGCATTAATATTCGGATTATAGGTGTCCCAGAAGGAGAAGAGAGAGACAAAGGGGCAGAAAATCTATTTGAAGAAATAATAGCTGAAAATTTTCCTAACCTAAGGAAGGAAACAGACATTCAAGTACAGGAAGCACAGAGAGCTCCAAACAAGATAAGATCAAAGAGGCCCACACCAAGACACATTATAATTAAAATGTCCAAAATTAAAGATAAAGAGAGAATACTAAAAGTGGCAAGAGAAAGGCAACAAGTGACATGCAAAGGAAAGCCCGTAAGCCTATCAGTGGGCTTCTCAGACAAAACCCTACAGGCAAGAAGAGAATGGCATGACATATTTAAAGTTCTAAAAGGAAAAAAACCTACAGCCAAGAATACTCTATCCATCAAGGTTGTCATTCAGATTGGAAAGAGAGATAAAGAGCTTCCCAGACAAGCAAAAATTAAAAGAGTTTATCACCAAGAAACTAGTTCTACAAGAAATGCTAAAGGGACCTATTTAAGTGGGAAAGTGATGACTACAAAAAGGGATAAAAAAATTGTCAAAAAAACAGGCAATAAAATCACTTGTAAAGGTAAAAATATAGTAAAGGTAGCAGACCAACCACCTGTGAAGATAATGTGAAGGTTAAAAGACAGAAGTACTAAAATTACCTATTTCAATGATAAGTGGGTAATGGATAGACATATACAAGAGATTAGATATGATTTCAAAAACATAAAATGTGTGAGGAGGGGAGTGAAAAAGTAGAGCTTTTAGAAAGAGGTCAAGCTAAAGAGTCTATCAACTCGATACAGACTGTTATATACATAGAATATTATATAGGATCCTCATGGTAATCACAAATCAGAAACCTATAATAAGTAAGCAAATAAGTAAGACAAAAGAAATCAAACATATTACTAAAGAAAGCAATCAGACCACAAGGGAAGAGCAAGAGACAAAAAGGAACAGAGAAGACTTACTAAACACCCAGGAAAAAAAAGAAACAAAATGGCAATAAATATATATTTATCAATGGCTACTTTAAATGTCAATGGACTAAAGGCTCCAATCAACAGGCATAGGGTGGCCAGGTGGATAAAAAAAACAAGACTCATATACATGCTGCATACGAGAGACAAACTTCAGACCTAAAGACACTCACAAACCGAAAATGAAAGGATGGAGAAAGATATTCAATGCAAATGGCAAAGAAAGAAAGCGGGGTAGCAATACTTACATCAGACAAAATAGACTTTAAAACAAAAACTTTAACAAGAGATGAAGAAGGGCACTACGTAATGATAAAGGGAACAATCCAACAAGAAAATATAACAGTTGTAAATATCTATGCATCCAACATAGGAGGACCTAAATATATAAAGCAATTATTAACAGACATAAAAAGAGAAATACACAGTAACACAATAATAGTAGGGGACTTTAACACTCCACCTACACCAATGGATAGATCATCCAAAAAGAAAATCAAAAAGGAAACACTGGCCTTAAATGACACATTTGACCAGATGGACTTAGAGGATATATGTAGAACATTCCCTCCAAAAACCACAGAATACACATCCTTTTCAAATGTACATGGAACATTCTTCAGGACTGATCACATATTAGGGCACAAAACAAGTCTCAATAAATTTAAGAAGATTGAAATAATACCATGCATCTTTTCTGACCACAAAGGTATGAAACTAGAAATCAACTACAGGAAGAAAATCAGAAAAGCCACAAAAATGTGGAGAGTAAACAAAATGCTACTGAACAATGATTGGGTCAATGAAGAAATCAAAGGAGAAATCAAAAAATTCCTGGAGATGAATGAAAATGAAAATATGACATGCCAAAATCTATGGGATACAGCAAAAGCAGTTCTAAGAGGGAAGTTTATAGCAATTCAGGCCTACCTCAACAAAGAAGAAAAATCCCAAATAAACAATGCAACAGCCCATCGAAAGGTATTGGAAAAAGAAAAACAAACAAAACCCAAAATCAGCAGAAGGAAGGAAATAATAAAAATCAGAGCATAAATAAACGAAACAGAGACTAAACAACAATAGAAAAAATTAGTGAAACCAAGAGCTTGTTGTTTGAAAAGTTACACAAAATTGACAAACCCTTAGCTAGACTCACCAAGAAAAAAAGAGACAAGGCTCAAATAAAGTCAGAAATGAAAGAGGAGAGATTACAACAGACACCTCAGAAATACAAACGATAATAAGAGAATACTATGAAAACCTACACGCCAACACATTGGACAATCTAGAAGAAATGGATAAATTCTTAGAAATATACAACCTTCCAAAACTGGACCAAGAAGAAGTAGAGAATTTGAATAGACCAATCACCAGTAAGGAGATCGAAACAGCAATCAAAAACCTCTCCAAAAATAAAAGTCCAGGACCAGATGGCTTCCCTGGTGAATTCTACCAAACATTCAAATAACACTTAATACCTATCCTTCTCAAACTCTTCCAAAAAATTGAAGAGGAGGGGAGGCTTCCTAATTCATTCCACAAAGCCAACGTTAACCTGATACGAAAACCAGACAAGGACAACACAAAAAAAGAAAATTACAAGCCAATATCACTGATGACCATCGATGCAAAAATCCTCAACAAATACTAGCAAATCAAATACAAAAACATATTAAAAAGAGATCATACATCATGATCAAGTGGGTTTCATTCCAGGGATACAGGGATGGTTCAACAGCCACAAATCTATCAACGTGATACACCACATTAACAAAATGAAGAATAAAAATCACATGATCATCTCAATAGATGCAGAGAAAGTATTTGACAAGATACAGCATCCATTTATGATAAAAACCCTAAATAAAATGAGTATAGAAGGAAAATACCTCAACATTATAACGGCCATATATGACAAACCCACAGCAAATATCTTTCTCAACAGAGAAAAACTGAAAGCTATCCCTCTAAGAACAGGAACCAGACAAGGATCCCCACTGTCACCACTCTTATTTAACATAGTATTGGAAGTCCTAGCCAGAGCAATCAGGCTAGGAAAAGGAATAAAA